AGGGTGTGCAGTTGCACCTTAGAACTATAATGGATCTGCCGTTGCTCCCTCTGTTCCATAGTAACTATATCTTTTTAAAAATATTTTTATTCGATATTATATGACACTTTAGATTTCAAATATTCACCAAATGCATTTTTTCTTGTTTGAACTTTACTAATCTCACTCTATGTATTAACTCTGTTGTATCATATCGTTGAATGATCAAAGTTATTTTAGTCTTTCTCACGTGTTTTTCATAAAATCAAGATACGTACATTGAAATTCTTAATACTTTGCAAAGTTGAAAATCGACAATTAATTAAGAGAAAAGGAAGTATAAGTTTATAGGATTGTTTGGCTAATATTTATAACACGGAGATTTGTTAGCAATTCAATATACCAATGCAATAAAATCTAGTAATTTGATATTGATGGGTTCTTTTTAAGAATTTCACAACCTAATTAAAAAGTACAAAATTATTTGACTAGCAATTAATTAGGGCACCGACTAAGCGGTTGCCGGCCATTTTATTGAAGTGGTGATTTTCTTGCATCTACCACTTAAAATCCTTGTGCCACTTTGACATAGAATTCAAGTTATATTGCCACCAAATATTTATATAATGACAATTAGGTCAAGTTTGTACATGATCTATAGTTATTATAATTTATATTTTTTCGTATGATTTGTAAGATATTGCATAAAAGTAGACTACGCGGGTTGGATCCAAATATTTTTTTCACCAGGGGTGGAAACTAGAAGCGTGAACTGAGTTTTTATAGGCGTTCAAAAACTCGCTCTCTTCCAACAAATGGGAAGATATAATGAAACCCGATATGATATATTTACTTTTTTGAATAATTTTAAATGAACGCAATGAAGCATTCGATTGATTCATTGTTTATTTATTTAATTTAATCCCACAAGTATATATTAATTAAATCGTAATTGCTAGATCGAGTTTGGCACTATAATTGTCCACGTGGTGAATGCTCAAGCGTGGTGGATCAAAATCGAATGCTGTGAACGCTTGTTTGTGTTAAATAATGCACTATAAGACTAGAGTTTTCATGTTTCCTAACACCAACTGATTTTAGGACAGCCGGTAATAACGTATAAAATTATATACATGGAATATTAAAATTTTAAAAATTATAATATAAAATAGTAATTGATGCACGCAACTCCACCAAAAAGGGTCCAATTAGACACAAACAAAATGAATTCAATTTGTCTAGGCCCTACACAAGTTTCTCATGTTTTCACTACTTTTAGGACAATAATTTGTGACTCAAGAATGAGTAGATTTGAGTTGGGGTTTCTAGAAACACTAAACTAAAAAGCATAGATTTTTTCAAGATCAAATAGAGGCCATACACATTACATGCATGTAAAAAAAAAAAGGAGATATACAAAAATTACTGACTCCTTATAAAATAAAAAAATAAAAAATAATAAAAAATCTAGACAGGAAATCAAACAAGCACTTGATACCATGTTAGAATGGAAAAATAGATAATACTCGAATTCAGTCATACAGAATAACGAGACAATATTATTATAGAATAATCAACTATAATAGACAGAGATACAATATTGAACGATCCACTCTCTTTATACAGGGATGGGAAAAGACTCATAACTAAGAAATAATACTAAATAGATTTCTAATGTAATATAAAAATCTAATTATATTCTAACAAAAATATTCAATTTTGTCTTAGGCCTACACAAGTTTTTCATGTTTTCAATACTTTTAAGACAAAATCATTTAAGACTAAGGAATATATTTGAGTTTGGGGTTTCTAAAAACAATAAAAAAAAATAGATTTTTCAAAATCAAATAGAGGCCTTACACATTACACGCATATAAAGAAAATAATAATAAGAATAAGAATAAAAAAAAATAAAAAAAGAAAAAGAAAAAGGAGAGATACAAAAATTATTGATTCCTTATCCGAAAATCAAGATCGAGATTGGTCTTTCTTGGCAAAAATCAAGATTCCCTAATGCCCCTAAATTATTCCAGTTATTCGATGGGACAATTCAGAATCGGATTTATTTACTTATTATAGACAGACTAAATTAAGCATTGAATTTGATATATATATATATATATATATATATATATATATATATATATATATATATATATATATATATATATATATATATATATTATTTTTTTGAGAACAATTATTGAAAGATAGATGTATATAACTGCATATACTAAAAGACAATCATTTCAAATTTCCGATATTTTTACTAGTAGAAAAATGATTTTTTACTATAAATTTGTTTTGCTATAGTAAAAAGTCGTAAAGAAATGTACATTTTACTACGGAACAATTTTGGAGTCGTAGTAAATACTAGGATTTATCGTAGTTCAAAAGTATTTGCTTCGGTCATTTACCGTAACAAAGTTTTTGTCACACCCGTATATGCTACGGAGCAAATTCGTACATAGCAAAAGTCTTTTTTACTACGATTTTGGTATCTTTTGTTACAGTTAATGCTCGTAGTAAAAAAAAAATCATTGTTCTACTAGTGTTGCATGATTGTATTTCTAATCCAATATGGTACAAAATTTTGCTCCACCACTAGCTATAATATCAATACTCAAGTTTGTCTCGTAAATGATGACCTAGCAGTTGGAGCAAGTGATTTTGTGTCAGTTGATCTAAGTTCGATTTCCCTTGTCAGCGGTCGTTGGATTGAGTTTGTCATATACATTGTAAGCCTAGTGTGGTTTACGTCTCTCGTATGGTTTCTAAGCTATTATACGAAAGTATAGGTTTACCCAACGCATCTATATAGTTGCCTGCGAGTTCCTTCACTGTAAAAAAATAAATTAAAAAAAAAAACTCAATTTTGACCTGAATAAACACAATTTTAATACGAGTTTGCCTGTAAATAATGTACAAGTAGATTACATGATCATACTTTAGGATGTGACTTTACGTTAATACAAGTTTGATTGTAAGTATTGAATATTGATAATTATAGACAACCACAACCTAACCTAATTTCCCTATAGTCTAAGTTTCAACCATGTGGTGAAGTTGTTGTCTTCAAATCATTAAATAAAAAAGGGTTATTACATTCAACTACTTAGTGCCCGTTTGGCTAGGTTTATTTTAAACAACTCATAAGCAGTTACGTCTGATAAGTTATTTTAAGAGTTGATAAGTTGTTATATTTTATTTTTAGAATTAATTTTTAAAATATTTAGATAATGAGAAGGTGGAGTATATATATATTTTTAATTTTAAAAACTTTTCAGCAGCTAATTATTTGAATTCTTAAGATTTTTCTTGAAAAATTACCAAAACACTTTAAAAGAACTTATAAGCTGTTACTAAAGTAAACATCTTATATGCTAGTTTTAAGAGGGTGTTTGGCTAAGCTTATAAGATGTTAAAATGAGCTTATAAGATGTTTTAGAGCTTATAAGCTCTTCCAAAGTGTTTGGTAATTTTTTTTAAAAAGATCTTAATTTTTTTTAAAATAAGCTGTTGGAGAGCAAATAAGATCTTTTTAAAAAAGTATCTATACCCCACCTTTTTATTTAAGATCTTATAATGAATAAAAATAAGAAATAAGCTTATTATCCAAACACTCTAAAAATTAATCCTAAAAATAAGATGTAACAACTTATCAGCTCTTTTTTATCAAAAAAAAAAAAAACTTATCAGCTCTTAAAACATTTTATCAGACGTAAGAACTTATCAGTTGTTTAAAATAAGCTTAGCCAAACACCCTCTAAGAATTATTATACCCCTATGTTATGGACGTGGAATATGATGATCAAGGATCCTACGTGTCAAATATTCGATTAAAAGTTGTTTAAGATTAAAATAAAAAATTGTCCAAGTGTAAGATCCATATTAAATTACTTAGCATTTAAATTGTGTCATCAAATCTAGAAGCATCCAATACAAAAGTTACTCCTTACCCATACGCCAAGATCTCCACCACTATTACAATTCAACCTTTTCAAACTTTAGTGGCACTTTGTTTTTCTAGACATACAAACGTGGCAATAGGTTGTTTAATATATATTAGTACTATCTAATATTTATTTCAGTTGGGAGGTATAAACTCGATAAATTAATACCTGATAACAGGGGCGGACCCAAGGTATACTTTGGGGGGCCCTTCGCCCCTGTAGAAAAAAAAATTTTATCTGTTTTTTATTAAATTTTTAATATTTTATGTTATTTATCTATTAATTTATACCATTTAGTCCCCCAAACTTTAAATTTAGTATCATTTTAGTCTAAAAAAAATATTCTAGCCCCCCCTTCATTACTCCCTGGGTCCGCCCCTGCCTGATAAACTAATAATTTCGTTTAAACAATATACTTTTGCCTCTCCGATTCGGGTACAGCATGCTAAGTTAATAATTCACCAAAAAATTTAAGAAACCGGTATAATACATAAATTAATAATGCATAAAAACAATTCTTAAATTACGTAGTACAATACATATTTTATAGATCTATGAAAGTTTAATAAAATACAATTTAATTTTCGTTTGATTCTTATTAAAATTCACATCACCATCAATCGCGTCCCTCGTTTTTTCGTAATATGGTTAGAACTTTGGGTGTAGATTTCTTATAATTCAGCTATAAAACTTTTTTCCATTGTTGTTAATAAGAGAATCATTTCGAGAAACAGGCTCTATAGTACATTGAACTAATGATACAATGAATAATCTATACTGGACAGAAAAATGTATTTATCGAAAATTATAATAAAAATAATTTCATAACCGAATAATTATTAAACACTCGAATACCAAAAGAAAATTAAAAAATAAATGAACTCAAAAAGAATTAAAATAAAATAAAATAAAATACCAAACCAACCAATAAAATAATATTTCCTAAAAAAATAATAATGAATCCCAATATCCAATCATAGCTAAATAATTAATTTCTTTCTTTTTTCCTGAAAAGAATCACATGCAATTTGCCTTTATTTAGTGATCACTGTGTACAAATCAAGCCTTCGTACATTTTGTTTTTCCATGGACGCCATTGAAGAAGCTTGGAGGAAGCTCTATCCATTAATAATAAATCCATAATTCATTTATATAATTGGAATCAACAACCTCACTCCTCTCTGTTTCCTTCCTTTTTTAGATACATCACAAAATTTATTAAATCATCCATTTTTATTTTTTATTTTAAATTATACATACATACATGTATATATGTGAGATTCTGTTTTGAGAATTTTTTCTCCGGATTTGTTTGTTAATTAATTGATTGGTTGATTGATTGATGGATCGTCGCGAAGATGATGAGAATTTGGGCGGCGGCGGAGGGGATATAGAGCACGACGGCGGCGGTGGTGGAGTGGGTGGGTATTTGTACGAGAGAAGAGACAGCAATGCGTCGTCGTTTTGGGATAGGGAAGGCGGCGCGGTGAGAGAGCCGTTGTTGAATCTGAGGAGCAGAGTCAACACCACCTCTCAGATTGCCATTGTTGGCGCCAAGGTTTATCCCATCGAGAGCCTCGATTACGAGTATGAGTCTCTTTTCTCTTCTTTTTTTTATTTAATTAGGTAATTAATTAATTAATTTTTCCATGATTATATGTAGAATTCTCACTGATTTGTTTATTGTGATTATTAGTTTTTTTTTTGTTTTGTTTTTGATTTGGTAATTTCTTCAAACTTTGGTTGGTTCTAGAAATTGATCTCAGATTTTGGATTGACTTTTAAATTTTGGAATGTGATTAGTTGATCTGTATATGTAATATGTATCTATATGTGTATGTATCATATGCTAGCTCTTTTCTGGTGGTGTAATCTGTTAATAAACCGAATAGAGAAACGCAATCACGAAGCGACCGAATTTTAAAGTGTTTTATCTACTCTGTTTAAATTATTCTGCAATCTAGAGGGAATAATTATAATAACATATGATTCACTTTATTTTGCAGGATTTTCGAAAATGAACTCATTAAGCAGGATTGGAGAACCAGAAAAAGGATCGAGATTTTTCAGTACGTTTTCCTCAAATGGACGCTTGCTCTTCTCATCGGATTATTCACAGGCGTTGTCGGCTTCTTCAATAACCTTGCAGTCGAAAACATTGCTGGTGTCAAACTTCTCATCACTAGTAATTTAATGCTCAAGGAAAAGTAAGCCCACTCTTCTTGATTTGTACCGTACCGTATATACAGCTTTTACTTGTTAAGTCGACAAATTCTTAACATATGCGTATGTATGTATGAAATGCCGAGTTCTTGGGAATCGTTTGTACTTGATTCGTCATTTAATTTTGGAAAATAAGGATATCGTAAATTTATTTCGCTACAGATACTATCAGGCATTCGCAGCATTTGCTGGAATAAATATGATACTTGCAGTGTCTGCTGCTGCGCTATGTGCATTCATTGCCCCGGCAGCAGCGGGGTCCGGCATACCCGAGGTTAAAGCCTATCTTAACGGTGTAGATGCTCATTCCATTTTGGCTCCGAGTACCTTATTTGTCAAGGTTCGTCCAATATCTTGTTGCTTTTTTTTTTGTTTTAAACTTATATTTTTTTTTTATCAGTATAATCTACTAATAGTCTAATACACACACATTCTAATTTTCTGTAGATTTTTGGTTCTATTTTTGGAGTTGCTGCTGGACTTGTGGTTGGTAAGGAAGGTCCAATGGTACACACTGGTGCGTGTATAGCAAATTTACTTGGACAAGGTGGGTCCCGCAAGTATCGTTTAACTTGGAAATGGCTCAGATTCTTTAAAAATGATCGAGACAGAAGGGATTTGATCACCTGCGGTGCTGCTGCTGGTGTAGCTGCTGCTTTTCGTGCTCCAGTTGGTGGTGTACTTTTCGCTCTTGAAGAAGCAGCTTCATGGTATCTTTCCCTTCTCAGTTCTCTCTCCATCGGTTTTATTATTTCATTAATATTTCGAAAATATTATTGAATCGTTATCTATAACATATTGTAACACTTCCCTGAGGAAAATAAATGATTACTCTTAATTGCTGTTGTTACCTGAAAAAAGCCCTTTTCAGTGGTATCTTGAAGTTTGGTAGCAGAAAACGAGAGACATTTTCTGCTATAGAAAATATGTAAATTCCACTTTTTATGGCCTTCTTCGGCTGTTTTAAATGATGGCTGCAAATTTGTTCCATTTCGTAACAATTGCAAGATTTATTAGCTTTATGAACCGATCTCTTTAGCTCCTCCGGATTTGATGGGATTTATAGTATATATATACGTTTGCAGGTGGCGAAGTGCTCTTCTTTGGCGGACATTCTTCACAACTGCAGTTGTGGCTGTGGTGTTAAGATCATTCATAAGCTTTTGCCGAAACGGAAATTGCGGACTATTTGGACAAGGAGGTCTAATCATGTTCGATGTAAACTCAGAAATCCCTGCTTACAACACCCCTGATCTGCTTGCGGTTATACTAATTGGTGTTCTTGGTGGCCTTTTGGGATCTCTTTACAATTATCTTGTGGACAAAGTCCTCAGAACTTATAGCTTCATCAACGAGTACGCTTGCTTTTTTTTTTTTTTTTTTCAATATATAAGTCAATGTTTTTACACATATGTATATGTTTCAATACATTTAGGGGTTGAAATTGGAACGGAATCTCCGACTTCTGCCAATTCCGATCCGACATCTTCTGATTTTGGAACAAGTTTTTTCACTCAAAAAGTTCCGATTCCAATTTTCTCAATGTTTTTTTTTTTTGGATTGAAATTGGACAAATATGAGATTTCGATTTCCGTTTCGATTTTAATTTCCGAAAGTAATTCCAAAATTTCGATTTGTTTTCCCGAAAATACAATTATAAAATCAATATTATTAAGTATTTTGTATTTTAGGTGGCTAAAAATTTTGAATTTTCTGCGAGGACTTTGATCCTGAAATTTCTGATTTTTGAACGATTTTTTCATTCTGATTTCCGGTTTTTCCCTTTTTTCTTTTTTTGGAACTGAACTAGAATTAGTTTTTCACTTCCGAAAAAAATCTGATTTTTCGGAAGTATTAATTCCGATTTTTTTTCTGAAAATACACTTACTGATATCAATATTATTATGTATTTTATGTATTAGGTCGCTAAAAAATGGAATTTCTGATTTTGGAAACTGTTTTTTTCATTCCAACTTCCGAAATTCCAATTTCCAAATTTTCCCTTTTTTTCTGGAACGGAATTAGAATTACTTTTTCACTTCCGAAAAAAATCGTTTTTTTTTCCGAAATTGCTAATTCGGATCCGATCAGTCCGATCTCCACCCTAATCACAATCATCTATCTTCTTCCCTAATCTTCATCAATCAACAATTATATTACCTGCATGCAGGAGAGGCCCTGCTTTCAAGATCTTGCTAGTTATCGCCATCTCCCTTCTAACATCATGCTGTGCATACGGCCTTCCATGGATTGCACAGTGCACGCCCTGCCCCACCGACTCCGACAAAGAGTGCCCCACAATCGGACGTTCCGGAAACTACAAGAACTTCCAATGCCAGCCTGGACACTACAACGACCTCGCCTCTCTCTTCCTCAACACAAACGACGACGCAATTCGCAACCTCTTCAGCTCCGGCAACAAAAACGAGTTCCACATCACAACCCTCTTCATTTTCTTCACCGGAATATACTTTCTCGGAATCATCACCTACGGAATCGCAGTACCCTCCGGGCTGTTCATCCCCGTCATACTCGCCGGAGCTTCCTACGGCCGCCTCGTCGGGCGGCTGATGGGCTCTTTTTCCAGCTTAGATGTTGGCCTGTTCGCCTTACTAGGAGCCGCTTCATTTCTCGGTGGGACCATGAGAATGACTGTATCTCTTTGTGTTATACTTCTTGAACTCACTAATGATTTATTAATGCTGCCTTTGGTTATGCTTGTGCTTCTTATTTCGAAAACGGTGGCGGATTGTTTTAATAAGGGCGTTTATGACCAGATTGTGAAGTTGAAAGGGTTGCCTTATTTAGAGGCCCATGGTGAACCGTACATGAGGCATCTTTCTGCAGGTGACGTTTGTTCTGGACCGTTGATTGTTTTTTCGAGCGTCGAAAAAGTGGGGAATATTATGCACGCGCTTACGATGACTAGGCACAACGGGTTTCCGGTGGTGGACGAGCCTCCGTTCGTGGAGGCTCCAGAACTTTCCGGGCTGGTTTTGAGGTCACACTTGCTTGTTCTGCTGCAAAGGAAAAAGTTTACGAAGAACAGAGTTTTGAGTGGTTCGGAGCTTCTGACAGTTTTTCATGCATTCGATTTTGCTAAACCTGGGTCCGGGAAGGGGCTTAAAGTGGAGGATTTGGATCTGAGTGAGGAGGAAATGGAGATGTATGTTGATTTGCATCCGGTTACTAATACTTCTCCTTACATGGTTGCGGATACTATGTCTCTTGCTAAAGCTGCTGTCTTATTTCGGGAACTCGGACTTAGACACTTGTGTGTTGTCCCGAAAACACCTGGGGTGAGTTCAAAATTCAATCTTTGTTTCTTTTTTCTCAATGATTTCTGTTAGAAGTAAATGTATCGATGTTTTCTTGATTTTTACAGAGGCCTCCAATTGTGGGAATCTTGACGAGGCACGATTTTATGCCGGAGCATGTTTTGGGACTCTATCCACAAATTGCTCACCAGAAGTAGTCAGTCAAATTGGACTGGCCTTCGAAAAAAAATGCCATTTTTTTTTTCTTTTTTTGGGATTTACAGTCGTTTTGTCTATCTGACGAGATTGATGACTGGACGACGAAGACGAAGCCTCGTTCGGCTGTCGAGGAGTTTCTTCCTTGGCTGGCCTGCAGAATTCGAAGCTTTGGTTTCCCACATGTATGTATTTATGTATACTTGCATATTCGTTACTGAAATAAGACAATTTTTTTGGTGGACTTTACACAATAGTGGATAGTTCACTCATTTGGTTTTTTTGTATGAACTCAAAATATTTATTTTGCACAAATATGTTGTTGACATGAATAATGTCAAATTGTCAATTGTTGTGAGTGTTGCTGGGAATAAAATTTGTGTATCAATAGTCCAAGTTAAAACTGTAAGTTATACCTTACGATTTTCCACACGAAAAAAACTAGAGAAGATAATAGCGGCGTAAACATAGGAATTCAAGTAGCTAATTCTTGATATATGTTTCACCAATTACCGCATCTTGTGCCATGTGGCTGAATGTATCGTACAATCGTCTAACTGTATTGTTTTCGAGTTTAATACACGACGAATAATAATGATAGTAATGGCTTAGTAATATTATTTACAAATTCGTCCAAGGGATTATTCTCCTACAACATATGTACAACATACGGCATACTTCATCAATCTGTATCCACCTGTTATTTCTATTTCGGCGGAGCCTGTACAGTATAAATACGGACCTTTCTGTATTCGCAATTTCCACCTTTTTAAATAATGTTTTATCAATCTGAATAAGAGAGGATGCTTTCTTACAGGCGAAGAACGTTCCGATTGCTTGATATCCACTTTTAGCAAATCAAGCAGCGTTGTCCTTGAACGGGCTAGATTCGTGTAATAACTCCATGACATGTTCAAGCTGTGTCAAACAATCCAAATATAAAGGTAAGGTAGAAAAATTGACAAACACGGTGAAGATGAATACTTATTATTTATTTTTTTAAAGGATTATATATTTACCTGAGCTCTTTCACGTAGCAAGAAATCGGAAATGACTCTCCTGAAACCTTCATCGAGAATAAAGTGACAACTGTAGGTAGGCACCGGCAAATAGCCCCTCTGAATTTTATGCTCACCTTGTGCTCCAGCCTCTACCTTGTCAAGGTTAAATTCAATTGCTGCTTCTATAGCCTGCAATAATAGCCGGAATTGTATTTTAGGAGTGGAATTGGTAAATCGGATAAAAATATAGATTACAAATTCAAACATTTGAATTTTTTCACGAACTTTTTGACAATAAACACTTCCTACTAATCTAATTCTAAAATCACATAAATAATGACTCTTAATGAAACAACTATCTCGAGTAAAGGGAAAAAAGGGAACCTGATAATAGCAGGCTTCAAAATGTAGACTTGGGTAGTATGCTTCGGGGAGGCAACCCCAAAGGCGTCCATATAAAGTATCTCCACCGATAAGATTAAGTGCTCCAGCGACAAGTTCGTCCCCTTCTTCCGCAACTACAAGAAGAACATTGTCGCCCATTTTTGAAGCCATGTTGTGGAAGAAATCTCTTGTTAGATAAGCACTACCCCACCTGAATGAACGATATTTACTGTCATAATTAACAAAAAAAATCCTAAAAGTAGTCGAAGTTTATGATGTCAGCGAGAGGTCAGCAAACGAACTTGTTATCTGTAGTGTTTTTGTAGAACTTATAGAACGTGTCCCAGTGCTTAGCCTGCCGACATAACAGACAAACAAAGTTGAGACTGTAAGTACACGAAACGGTTGTTGACTGTTTTCGGGGCGACGTATGTAACAATTATGATAAAACCTCAAAAACAATTAAAAAAAAAAAGATAATACGGCAGTAGGGCTGTGAAGATACATACTTAACTCAAAAGAAGATAGAATCCCATGCATACCTTAATTTCATATCCTCTTAGGCGTTTCATGGTCAAATTCTGTGTAGAAATCTGCAACAAGGAAACAATGTACATTATTAGCAACTTCTTTTCTTGTGAAACAAGTTATCCTAACCATCGTGAAATGACAACGTACCTTCTTGCGCTCTTGACGGATATTTTTCCTTTTACTTTGCTTCATGTCCATCAAGAAATCGTCGAAACTGTTGAGATAACGACAATTGCATTAGCACAAGAATAACCTTCATTTTAGTGAATTACTTATTTATATATATATATATATATATATATTGCTATCTTATAAGGAAGTGTTGCTTAAATAAGGATGGGTGGCTTACTACCTGGCCGTGATAACTGTTCTCAAAAGAAGGAATAAAACTGAATATGGATTAAATTAAAAGAGCTTACAAGTTTATGCATGCAACTATTTTCTTAGCGATATCTCGTATAAGGACATCAATAAGTAATTTTCATACACTGCAGCTCAAAGAATTTGGTTCATGCAAAGTTTATAGAAGTTGGTTAAGGAGATCATTTTGCATTCTTTACGTGACTTCTTCTTATTTTCTTCTCTGAGGCACCTATCTTTTAGCAAGCAACTACTCCTTGACTACTAATAAAGAGAACAATTTCAGATGCAATTTATTAGATTTTTCGATTCAGCTATTGCAATGAGCAAATGAAATATGCAGAATCTAGCTACCTTTTATAATTATGATTTTTCCAGTGATACTGCATTCCGACTCTCTGCAGAAAGCCCTTCTCCTTCAGCTTCCCCCACTCATTTGCAGATGGGAAAGTGATGTGCAGCGACGAAACCTGAAACTGGGAGATACGGATATTTTAGTACGAAAGGGCAATCAGAAAATATATCATTTCATTCGGTGGATTTTTATACGGATACAATGAGAAACGTTAGCTAGACTAAATAACTACCTTGATTGTCAGTGCTATCATAGCAGAGACTAAGATATCAAAGACCTGATCTCTGTAATTTGTATTACGGATTAAGATCCTCGAGCCGGTAACAGGTGTGAATGGCACACAGGACTGCAATTTCGGATAATATCTCGACCCGTAACTGTAATAGGCATCTGCCCATGAATGATCGAACACATATTCACCGTAAGAATGGCTGCAGAGTAAAATAAAGGGATATACTCAGGCACAAATATATAAGACAACGTCTCGTCTTTTTGTAAGCATTATTATGATAGCTATTTACAAGTCCGTGTCACTTGTATATAAAATCAAAACTAAAAATTAGGAACATATTTACTTTTTTCTTTTTGCATCTTTAAATAAATCAAACCTTTTCAGGTAGAGAGGAATCACTCCAAGAACTTTATCAGATTCATCCCGAGCAACAATATGTTGTGGAAGCCATCCTGTTTCCTGGAAGGGAGTTTAATAATCACTATCATGATTTCTTTTCCCATGACGTACATAATAAATCACGAGCAAATGGTACAGAAGTTGAAATTGCTAACCTTCACTGCAGAGCCCGAGTCCTCTAGGCTTGAAAGAAAACCATGTGTAAGAAACGGATTAAATTTATCCAGACCTGCAGCATCAAGACTGCAAGCATCCCATTCATCCGCTGAAACCTCTGAGATCGACGAAACCACTTGAACTGATAGCTTTCTGGATTTATCGAAACTAGTGGTATCTCCCTACAACAGATCAAAAAAATAGCACGACATTGACATTTGCGTCATGAAATTTGAGAATCAAACTCGAAAAGATATTAAGGGGCCACCAAGTAAGTAAACAACCTCAGATGCTGATTCTGTCAAACTGAAATCGCCAAGGGACAAGTCCAGTTTGGTGGGCTCCGCGGCCTTCCTTGGCCCCCAAAATATAGCTTTTATGCTAAATCCAACATCTGAATTACGTCTGTATCTATTAACAGATGTTTTCCTCTGTAGTAAGAGAGTTAAATTAGTCAATTTCGCTAAGCAGAAAAAAAACCAGAAACAGTAAAACATGTCTAGTCTCGGTTACGAAGAAACAATTAAATAAAGAGCACCATCAGATGAATAGCACATTCAACGGCAAGACATACTACAGTTTCCTTGAAACTAAATAAACCTCGTCTTGTAAAATATGATATCGAGCGAGTCGAAAATAATTGTATGCCCATATTTAAGACCATAACATAAGAGAATGTAGGATATTCCATACAAATTTCAATTGACAAAACAAGGACTCGGACCGTTTTAAAGAACATTGCATCGAAAAAAAACCTGCTAAGGAAACGAGATGCTACAAAAATCAAATCAAATTAACAGCAATTCAATCTTTTGACAGTACGGCGTACACAAATTCTGCCAACAATTTGCTGACTAACTCATGCACAATGCAACTCCTATCGAATCAAAACCCTACTACTTGCATTACCCAATGCTATTCAAACGTATTTCAATTGGAGCAACAAAAAACATGACAAATTTCATGCAGCGCAAACAAATTGATGAAATTAATTCATTCAAATTAATACAGATACACAAACAACAATTCTAAGTTTCAATCGAAATTCAGAGACCCAGAGTAACACAATCAAAATTCCTCGAAATTCTAGATGTTAGAACTGAAGAGAAGAACCTAGAGAAAAAAAAAATACAAAATCAAGTGGTTAGTAAGAGGAGTGGAAGAAGCTTACGGCGTGAAAGGAGGTGTGGCCGAGAAATGGAGAAGAAGAAGCAGCAGCCACGGCAGCAGCAGCAGCAGCCATGGCAGGCAGAGTGAGATTTTTTAGTGTATGTTAATTTGTAATTCCAATTTACAGCCATGTATTTTGTATGGGAATTTTTTTTTTCCAGCTATTTGCAGTTTGGGGGTTTTTGATATTTTTAAAAGTTTTGGGGAGTTTTGTTATAAATCGCGAATAGCAATTTTGTGACCGCAAAATAGCATTTCCGATTTTGTATACATACATACACATACTCCTTTCCTATTTCTTCCCTTTCACCATTTACTTTAGATTTTTCTAAATTATCTTTTTTTTTTTTTAAATATATATATATATATTTTAACCCCATTCAAATAATTAACTAATTATTAACAGTCCAACGTCTCATTATATTTGATTGAGTACTATGGACTAATAACTTTATTAAATTATTTCTAAAATTATTCTTCATACAAATGGAATTTGCACCAAGTAATATTACATTTTTTACTTTTTATTCTCCATTAATCTCTTTATTTTTGCACCTCACGTTTTTTTCTAATTTTTTTTAGGTAGAACAATTTCTCTTTTTTTATATATATTTTTTTCACTATTATAATAACTTAACTTTTTCCCTTTTTCTTTTGTCTGCATAAAAATTAAAAATTATGTATATAACATATTTTTTTTTTTTAAATTAAAAATTCTGCCTAATCATTTATAGACACCCGTAGTAATCTGAGTGACAGATAGTTAGTTATACAATTTAAAAACTTTAGCCCCCATTTAAATTACTACAAGTTCCTACGAGTGTCTATAAATGCCTAATGTCAAAAAAAACGAAAAACAAAATACGTGTCTTTTTCATAATTTTCAATATTATATAGAATAAAAGGAAAAATATAGGTTTTTATAATAGTGAAAAAAAGGAGATATACAAGTTCTACTACGTAAAAAAAAAATAATCATTCTACTAAGCTCAACTCAAGCAGAATGGCAACACACCTGTATTTCTCACCGTACGGAGCATACAATCGACAAAACACGAAACATCTACAAGTTAATTTTTCCCCAAGTCTTGGAGGTACTTTGTAACCCTCTCGACAAAGAATTATTTTCGGAAGCTAAACAGTTCAAACACATTACATTTTTATTTCACATTCACAGGGCATGAATATAGGCACAAGTCTCTTTCAGTTTCATTTTAAAACTCTATGGAATATCTATGCCACGGTGAGAGACGCGCCATTGTCTGCCACATTCAGATCAAGAATTATAGGAGCTGCCTTCTCAGCCCTGTTAGATAAAAAAAAGAAGAGAAATATCAAAGAGCTTGACTTGAACAATAATCGGAAATCCAAACGTTTTCATCACCCCTTTTTTAAGTAAAATCAAATGAATATTTATTTTACTATGTTAGTGGTTTATAAATTATGACAGCTCAAGTAGTGTTTTCTACGGTCGACAGATTTTGACGACTTTGTTCACATAATTGCTCTGCAAGTGCGAAGAATATTTCCATTTAGACCCTGCACAATTAAATAAACGAGATTCTCGCTCTCAAAAAAATTACGAGTTTCTGAAATCCTCTTGCTCTTAAGTAAGGAGTTCAATTCTGACTTAGAGAGAACTTTCATCCACTAACATGTGAATCGCTATTCACATCCAATATATCTAACGAAATGAATTTAACTTTTAACGGTTCCCACTGACACTTCCGATGGCAGTAAAAACTGAAAGGGAATGCTCACGTGTTTCGAGTTCTTCTTGAATTGAAAAAAATGAGTTTGAATATTAACAAATATTCCATGAGAAAAATAACTTTTATCTACAAGGTGTAGTCAGAAACTGTAAGTACACAAGTGATTTTTCATGTATATTTTATAATGATGGAACACTGATTTTTCAGCAATTTATTGTAGAAAGCTACTTCACAATTATAAACTTACTACTCAAAAAGATCATTCAACGAAAGAAATCCGAAACTTGATATCATTAGTTCACCGTAAATCGATTAATTGTTCTCATATACATATGCAAGTAAAATTATTACCGAAAAACAAGATTTATAAGAGACGAAAATATTGTGGATGATTTTTATTTAATTTTTTGAAATAGATGATCTCTAAATTTCAAAATGCACATAAATTGACAACGCATGCAGACGCACATACAGAGAGAGTACCATGATTCAGGCGTTTGATATAGAGCAGCCATCCTTCCAAAACATGATTCAAGCATCATGGTATTAATCACACCAGGATTAAGTGCAATAACAGCCACCTCAGGAGGCAACTCCTTTGCGACTGCCTTTGTCAAACCCTCGACAGCCCATTTTGAAGCACAATAAGGAGCTACCTAATATTATAAAAAAAAGTTTCAGCACAATAAATAACATTTTACGAAAACAGGACTTGAAAATGTAGTACTTGGGAATTAATATTCAGAACTTAGATGCTTGTAACCAAACATGCCGGGTACAGCTCAACTTCAGGAGACTGAAAATTAAAACAAATGTTCGAAAATGGCTTAAAGAGAATGTATTTGCCTAACTAACTCTTTAAACTTAAAAGCCTAAGAGAGGAGTAACTATCGTTTTATTAGTTAATTGAACCATTATATATTTAACAGACAAATGCACCAACACCGAAAATACTTAAATTATATATAATATTGCCCAACATAATAAAGCGAACACATGTGCTAAAACTCTATTTTACCTCTGCAGCAACAGATCTTCCCCAACCAGATGACATGTTGAAGATTATGCCCTGCTTTTTCTGAATCATGAGAGGGATAAAGTGACGAAGTACATTTGCTGTCCCCTTGAGATTGGTGTCAATTACTGAGTCAAATTGTTCTGCTGAAACCTCCCATAAATTGTTATTCCTATTTATCGTTCCAGCATTATTTACTGGAAAAAAATCACGCATTATTTCACATAATTTGGCTAAACGAGTACAAAATATAAATTGCGAGTGCATAAAATCGAACACAAACCAGCCCTTTTAACAACCTAAAGCAAAGTTCTCTCACTATGTTTTCATATGCAGCAACATAAGTACCATTAAGAAATAAGAACTAAACCAATGCCATGTAAAAAATAATGTGTTTGTAATGCAAAATTATTACTTATGCCAGAATAATGGGTGATACTGCAACAACAATAAGAAAGGTGCAATAAGACCAGTTATGTACTATCGAACACATCCAAATTATTACATAAAAATGCACAAAGGAATTGGTTCCCAAAGTAGAAACAAGGAGGGGGCAGGAAAAGTGAAAAATAGGTCTTGATTGCTTGTAAGAGTTTTTTCAAAACTTTCTAATTTCAACTATTTTTATTCTTCATAATTACATGGTGATTGGATGCGAAATATTTGCGATAAAATATCTAAGGCCCTATTATTGACAGGAAAGATATTTAACCCACCATTACTCACTCACTCAATGACAACAATGAAAAAGTTCAGCCGTATGTTCAATTTGCACAGGGAAGAACACAAGGGGGGCAACCATATCCGCTTTGCCTATTTTTTAGCGAGCTGATAAACGAGATACTGTACTACTATTCAACTCCAAAACAATCTTATATCCAAACACCATTTCATCAAAAGTGAATATCGCCTCAACTAATTTGTTATACTTCGATCTTTTATTTCATTTTTTTGTTGAAATGAAATTTTATCTATGCTCGGATGAGATAAATGTATAACACCCTTCGGTTATTGTGTTTATCATCTTGTTTAATTTTCGCCGTCACTACAAATTCGTAGCCACGTGTGGCCTAAACTATTCAAAATCTGTTTGCTACAAGTCTAAGCAACTGCCATCATCAATTGAAGTGTGCACAGACAAGGAAGCATTGCCTAAAACGCATATCCAGATCGAAACATTAGATTGTTCGAAATTCAAACTATATCGTAAAAATAGAACGACCAAATCTCATCTAAAAATAAAACAAATATATCTAAAGCTGCAACAAAAGAAAAAAGATCATACAAACAACCATTTCCACAACAAACACATTCAACAGTAAACAACAATCTCAAATAAACACAAAAAAAATATAAAAATTATTTAGTAGATGTACCTATAATATTGGGAATGACCTTCTTTTCTACAACGGTACGCGCCAACTCCTCGATGCTACTATCGGACCTCTGATTGAACACCAGTTGCCAAAAAATGAAGAAAAAAAAATAAAAAAAAAAAATGGAACCATGATTACAGACACATAAAATTAAGCAAGAGAAAAATAGAAAGAAATAGAGGGAGTATAGTGTAGGATAAAATTACCACGTCAACATTCAGGATGAGGTGTTTGCCGCTGTTGCTCTTGTTCTCGGAGGCGGCGGCGAGCTCCGATTGGAGTGAGGAAAGCTTGTCCGCGGAGCGAGAGCAGCCGATTACGGTGTGGCCGAGCTTGGCCAATTCCAGTGCTAGGGCTCTGCCGAGACCACGGCTCACCCCCGTTATCAGCACCGTCATGAGTTCAGCCGCGGCGGCGACACCTTCCACGGCGTTCGAGACTCTCGTCGGCGATGGTGGTGCCTGTGTGGCCGACATGCTTCTCCGGTTTCTCCACGCACAAACAGAATCTCTCTCTCTCTCTCTCTCTACCGGCGGTTCTGCACTTCACAAACTGAATCTCTCTCTCTCTCTCTACCAGCGGTTCTGCACTTCACGGTTGGAGTTGTTTGGGGGAAACAACGACGGTTATATATAAAGCTGTGATTCAAATTTGAAGGCTCTGTTTGGTTGGGACCTCCTAAAATCGGATTTTTGGTTATACACAAAAATAATAACCAACTCTTTTTTTTTTTCTGTTTTTTTCACGATAGTTAGGTTTTTTTTTTTTTTTTTTTTTTTTATTAGTTTTAAGATCGCTTTATTCTATGGTGTTGTGGGAATTATTTGATGTTATACCCGATAAAATACACTGTGTGATTATACACAAAAATAATAACCAAATTTTGATCTCCAATATTTCTTATTCAAAAAATCAAGTTAGCAGTACCCATGTAGTATAATTTATGATTTTTTTTGGAGAGACTATATGGATTGGGATTGGAATTATATTCAATTTTGGCATTCAAAATCATTTTAGAAAATTCTATATTTTCGACAAATTATATATATGAGATATTAATGTTTTTATATGTTTTACTTTTTCATACTATTTCTTTCTAATGGAACAAAATTGAAATTATTTTTCTTTTCCTAGAAAACTATATTAAAAAAATCGAGAAATAGCCACCAATTACCTCCATCGACCACCCGATTTTTCTAATGCAATCAACTCGGTTTTCATTTCAGGTTACATTCCATGAATTTTATAGAATAAGATACCACTATACATGTGTACCTTTAATTAGGTTGGACATGGGTGGGGTCGGATAATTAGCGACCAATTACCTCCATCGACCAACCGATTTTTTGAATATCGAACATCATTCCCAGCTCGATCATTTCGGGTCGGATAATGGTTGACAATCGATTTTGTCGGGTAAATAATGGATGGGCAGGTAGCATTATCGGCCATCTCCCTTTTTTTCATTTTTCAGTTTTTTCTTCAATTATAAGATGTTTTTAAAAGTGTTTTCAAAAAATATTTAAAATTTTAGTACGTAGATATTTATAAATTTATGTTTCGAGTTTTTGAGTTTACTACGTCTATATATTATTTCAACGTGAAGAAAACAAGAATTACGATTAAATATTTATAATAAATTTTTATTATCAAAAAAGTCTGTAGTACACTATTATCAGACCAACCGACTTTTGAGTAAAATTAATGTTTAGTTAGAGAATTAATCCAATTTCGTATGTATATATATATATATATATATATATATATATATATAACAAATTTATTTTTCAATTACTACATTTTAATTTTAATTTTATACCCGCACCTATTCGGCGTAGAAGAAAGGATTCTGCAGATGGGAAAGTCCTGAAACTGGGAGATACGGATATTTTAGTGCGAAAGGGAAACCAGAAAATATAGAGTAAAAAGCAGTTTACCCCCTAAAGTAAGGCCCGTTTTGCACTTTGCCCCCCAAACAAAAAAAATTTGCACGTTTTTACCTAAACTCGCTATTTTGTTGCATAATGCCTAAAAATTGCCATTTTCCGGCGAAATTCACCGGAAACCCGAGCACGTGCACCACACATGAGATTGACAGGGGTAATATTGTCTTTCTCTTACATCTTGACTAGATTTAATTTCTCTTTTTTTTTTTCC